CCCATTCTGTTTAGCCTCTAAAATAGTAAGCCTAAGCTAGCGATCAAATGCCAATATTGACAGCACATTTGAGTCTGAACATTAACAGATAAACAATGGCAGCACTATTACTAGAAACTATCTTAAAGAAGTAGCAGAAAAACTACCATGTATCTCAAATAAAATTCTTACATAATAATCTTACAAAATAATCTTGTAATTATTAAAATTGGAGCTTAATTAGAAATTAGTTTTTGACTTGAGTTTTTGTTTGTTTTAACACTCTAAAGCTAAGTGATTATTTCTGTGCTGTAGCTTCAATTATAATTTCATTTTAAAATTTCATATACTTTATGCATGGCTTTTCCAAAATCATCATAAAGGTCTATTTGTAATAAGTTTTATTCAATTTTAAGGAATGCTATCCAGATCCCAAATGATAACAACATTGTAAGTAAAACTAAAAATAAAATACGGCTCTAACACTGTACCTAAATTATATTTCAATAAAATGTATTTTTTAAAAAAAATACTGCTCTGAACCAAAAGCATTTGTTTTTCAACAACTCACTAAAAGGAGCAGGTTCAAATAAAACTTTAAAGCATATGTTATTAACCACCAGCTGAACCACTGGCAAGAGTCAAGCTAATAGTAAGAATATTGTATTATCATTAACTGTAGGGACGGCTTGAGGCAGCTCTTCTTATTCATACTAAGATCTAAATGCATACAATTAAAGCCACCAGATCAACTGTCCATATTAATCACTCACCAATTTAATTAAGGTAAATCATCTTGTCAGAAAGCTTGCCTCTTCTCTATTTCTCAATATTATCAACTTTTAATAGTTCACCAAATTAGTAATTACTTGTTTATGGCATTATCAAATGTCTTGGATACAGAAGACGACCATGTGACAAGGTCAGTTATAGACATCTCCTGATGGCAAATTACAGGAGAAATTTAACCCATCAAAGTGGTCATCAGAAAGGCAAAATCTATTATGCCTTTCACTAGACACTCCTGGTTAGATTCAAAGTGACAGGGTAAACCAGATCAAAACTAAACAGAGCTAGCAATATATAAAATCCTTATGAGCCCTTAGAAACCCAGGTATCAATCGATCAATATCTAAATACAATTAGTCCTTCCAGAACAAAGTATTTCATGGGGTGACAAGAAATTAGTTTGGGGTCTGGGATATACTCCTGAAAAGAATAAAACCAGTAACTTTATATTGAGTTTACTGCTAAGTGCAGCCACAGCAGTGTGGAGATCTTGAGAGGATTAAATAAAGATGTATGATGTTAAGTACCTATCTACCTAGTTCAGCAGGTGGCACTTAAGTAGTGCTTTGCATGTGTTACTCCTTCCTCAATTCTTTAAGAAATCCAACTCATCAAATCAAAGATCCTCTGATGGTTTAAAAAAACAAATGAAAACCTTAAATGATGATACAGACAACACATCTAAAAGAACTTAGTATTAAAAAGTAGCAAACAGGGAACATGAAAATGAAAAACAGATACTGAAAACATTTCTGAATGGCTCATCTTTTATGGCCATTTACAACTTTCATATTTTCTGAGTTTGTCTTCAGGGATGAGCTTTGGCAAGAAATAGGCCAAATGCAAACTCATTCCACTTGGGAATAAAACTGCAATTCTTTCAGCAGGTAAACCGCTCCTCTTATAAAACCTCACCACTGGGTATACTTCAAGCTTTCAGTAATTCCAGTTTCCAAACAAACTAGTAACAAAACTACAAAGCTAATTTTTTCATTAGAATTGTTAAGTAGCAGGTTCAATAAATCATGTGCCTTCCAAGAAAAAATATTACTTTCTAACATGCATAATATTTCGTCCAGTTCTAAAAAAAGGAGGCTTACAAACTGAAAATTATAACACTGTATGAAGTCTTTTTCTGGCTCAAGAATGAAGTATTTAAGAAATAAAGGTATAATGGAAAGAACAAGGCTTAGTCTAAGAAGTCTCAAGATCAAGTACTACTGTTGCCATTTACTATATGACTTTCAGGAGGTTACTTAACTTCTAAGGGACTCAGTTTCTTACAAGGTTTCTCTTCAGCTCTTGCAATGACATGATTATTTATAACTGATACACTCCATTGCCCCTCCTATATATACATACACACACATACATATACATACACACTTATACACATATATACATACATCTTTATTAAGCTGTATTGAGAAAGAGTGAGAGAGACTAAGTGTGAGTGTGTGTGTGTATACTGGTTGTTTTGACCCCAGCAAATCTTTTTCAGTAGTTAAGGCATTTACATAGCTTCATGATACATGAATTAACCAAGTAAGCTTTTAAAGCCTTACAATGAAACATTAAAATTCAATGTGGCTATAATCTCTTCCTTATAGAATATGGACCCAAAGAATCTGGCTTCGAGTATGGATTATTTTTCTTTTTATTTAAAAAAAAAGAAAAAAAAAGCAAAATGTATTATATTCACTATCCAGCTCTCCCATATGACCACATTAAAAAAAATTCACAAACACAAACGAAAACTCACAGGCCCATTGTAATACACTGTACCACTTCTGAATACAACACTTAGCTCAAGCTTACTACCCTGACAAATAAAGGAAAGCACTTTATGAAGCCAATTTAATTGGGAGGTGACAGAAAACATACAGCCATTCTCTTTAGCCTTATCATTGAATTGGCTTCAGCTCCAATCTCTGGCAAATCCCACTCAACAGAAGAAATTAACCAGGTCAGCAGAACAGGTGCTTCGTTGTGTCTGTCAAGGGCCTGGCATCACCACAATTACTTGCACACAATGAAACAATAATCTTTACAGATCATCTCCCCCAAGAAGCATATTGGGGAGGGGGAGGAAAACTGAAGGGCGGGAGGAGTGGGAAGAAGAAGAGGAATAGGAGGCAAAGAGAAAAGGCAAGGAAAGAAAATGAATGTGCAGCTGCCTTGGAGCTCAGCAGATGTCGAGCTGTGATGTACGAGGCTAGGATAAGCTGTCGTAGCCTGCTGCCAAAGACTGGTAAGTGATTAAACCCTGCACAGTTCTAAGCACCATATTTAGAATCTGCGGGGTTTCAAGACTTGCACCCATTCCTTGCTGTGCTGCCAGATGTTGGCAACTGGTCCAGTTCCTACAGACTGTGCATGGATGGCAGCAGTTGGTACAGCAGCAAAGCAATCTGGAACGCTTCCGGAGATGCTGTACATTAACAAGTGTCACCCATCATTCACCTTTACAGAAGGCTGAAACAACTCCAATTTGCTGCCACTTCCCTCTTGGGAAGCAGCCAAGATAAAGTTGTGCCTGGCAGCCCCATTTGTTTCACTCAGGTGTTTCTGCTGCCTTGCTGACCTCTATTAGTTTAAGTTTTAATTTAGATTAACCCCAGCACCCCAATTAACCAGCAAGGAGAAAAGCTAAGATGTGACTAGTCATAACTCTAAAATCAGAATTTATCGAAGTTAAAATTATTAATTGGGATGAAGGGCCAATCAAGTAATGCTATTTCTTTTTAAACAGACCTTAAGGCAAAGAAAAAAATATCTTTCAGACTAAGGATTGCCAGTGGAAGCAACTTCTCTCCAGTAATTCCAGTTTATTAAGCCTATTTAATTTATGATGCACTTTCCATTGAGCAATGTACATTTCAACTAATGAGGACTGGAACATTTTTGATTGTCTCCTGTGATCTCACACAATTATACGATATTAACATCTCATACCAGATACCTCAGACACTCACTCCAGAACAAAACAGTTCCCTGCTCATCTGACAAATGAATATAATAAGAGACAAAAAGGAAAAAAGAATCAGGACCTTTGACCGGGAACATCTGAGGCCACACCAATCCTCTTTCTTACACCCTCTCATCATTACTCTTAAGACTCACTTATGGCAATCATTTTATCGAATATTACAGAGTTGAGTGGAAAGACTAATAGAAAGTCTCTTTCTCTCTTTCAGAGCAAAACCAGAAGTGTCCTCAATACAGAATTACTTGTTCTACTGGCTTTACAAAATTAATTTTCCTAGTAAGTTCCTTCCTTTCATGCTCCATACATATAATACAGCTTTTATAGCTAACCTTCAACAAACAGTTGCAAATTCTGTAGCAAAAGTTCTTAACCCACTAAAAATTCAACAAAGAAAAAAATTATCTCAATAAACAATAGCTCAACAAAAACTAGTATATCACCGCTGAACAGCATCCTCAACCCTCCACCAAGTCAGCAAAGTTACAGCCTAAACCATATTTCATAAAGAAATATAACTTATCAAGGGACTCAGGATTACAGGAAATTATTTTAGTTCTTTAGAACAGCTCAAATGGTTAGTCTACCTTAGCAGTCATCAGCACCTTTACCCATAGTAGTATGTACACCAGCAGATAACACAAGAATGTCAGCTAAAGAACAGGGGAGACAGTTGTGAAGAGATAATGAGAACTGGACCATATTTCAACTTCTACCAATTTTTTCTGTCTTCAAAGCACTACACTATTATTATTATAATCAACAGTAGGAGACACTCTGAGTACACAAGGATTTGAACCTATTTTTTTAATAGGTGACAGAACCAGAAGTGTAATTCAAGAAATCTGGGGTCCTAGTCCTTTACCTCCATATCTCATTCTAATAGTTACCTCCACATCTCATTCTAATAGTAAAGAGACAAGAAACCAAATAACTAACAAAAGTCCCCCATTAATAGTTAAGAATAAACCCAACTCAAAGAAGTTAAAACTACTTTTATAGATAATTTATACTCAGCAACAAATAATGAAGTAGCTATAGCTACTTTTGTTTCAAAGGAAAAAATATAAAACAGAAGAAAAACAGTATATCTGTAACTATACAGTAATTTGTACACAGAGGAGTTCTAACCTCCTGTCTGATTCTATTCTCTATCCAAAGTAAGCTACCATTTTGTTCAGAGAATCCTAGAAGGTATTTTAAAATGCTAAAACCTAATTTATAACAAAGAATGTAAAAATCACACCTGGTGGTAAAAGTCATCATCATCAAATATTTCTTCATCCAAGTCCTTCAGGTGAGCATTGGCAGGGGCCTGAGGAAGGATCTCCTTTATTAGCAAAAAAGGGGAAAAAAAGTTACCAAATTAACGTTGCTACTACAAATAATGTGTATAATGACCGAAGCGCTGTTTTCCTTAAGATATGTTGTTGTTGTGTGCCTTCAAGTTGGACTCGACTCACAGCAACCCCTCCTTGGGTTTCGGAGGCAGTATCACTACAGAAGTAGATTGCCCCATCTTCCTTCTGAGGACTGGCTGGTGGGTTTGAACCGCCAGCCTTCCGGTTAGCAGTCAAGTGCCTCAGGCACTACACTACCAGAGCTCCCCCTTAAGATACAAAGACCTCTAAAATTAAAACAAATACAGTCTAGCAGAAAAATGGGCAAAAATATTAACAGGCAATTGACAAAAAAACAATCAATCAAAAATCCTGCCACTGAATTGATTCCGACTCCTAGCAACCCTGTTGGACAGAGTGGAACTGCCCTATAGGGTTCCCAAGGCTGTAAATCCTTACAGAAACAGACTGCTACATCTTTCTCCCATAGAGTGGCTGGTGGGCTCAAACCTTTTGGTTAGCAGCCAAGTGGTTTAACTCAAATAGTCAAATAATCATATAAGAATATGTTTCATCTCACTCTAGTTAAATATATGCAAATTAAAATGAGAAGGTACCATTTTTCACCTGTAAGATTGGCAATACTCAGTACTAAAGAACATAGCAAGTAGGAGTGGAAATTAACACAGCCTTGTTGGGAGGCAATTTGTCAACATCTTTCTGGATTTAAAATGTATATGCTCATTGATCTAACATTTCCACTTCAAGAAATTGTTCCATATATTCTTAAAAATACAAACCTAAATGTTCAGAAATGCTTATTACTGTCACACTACTGATAAAACTACAGACAATATAAACATCTATTGTTTGAATAATTTATAATCTACATTCTAAGAAAAATTATGTAGATGTCCATGTGATCTACACAATATGGAGAAGTATCCAAAATATACTAAATTAAAAAAGCAAGCTGTGATATTTTATATATATAGTTGTAATATTATTTATGTATTTATACACACACAGACATACATCCCATTTAATAAAGAAAAAAAAAAAAGATAACTGTATTTTTGTATCTGTGTATGTGCTGTGAGACAAAGTCTGACCAAACTTCATCTCACCTACTTTGGTCACGTTGTCAGAAGGGACCATTCCCTGGAGAAGGGTATCATGCTTGGTAAAGTGGAGGGTCAGCAAAAAAGGGGAAGGGTCAGCCCTCAAGGAGATGGAGTGACACAGTGGCTGCAACGATGGACTCAGGTATAGCAAGGATTGCGAGGCTGGCACAGGACTGGGCAGAGTTTTGTTCTGTTGTACATAAGGTTGCTATGAGTCAGACCTGACTTGACGGCACCTAACAACAACATATGTGTTGTGTGTGTGTGTTGTTAAATGCATAGGTAATACCTAGAACCCTGTTAAAAACTATTAATAGTGGTTAAATCTCAAGAATGGAATTTTTAGACTAAATAGAGTTTTACTTCTCATTTTAAATTCTTCTGAATTTAAAAAATGTGTTAAGTATATATTTCTTTCATAATTAAAAATATTTCCTTTAGACAAAAGAATTTGATGATTCCAATTCTAAATCCTGTCTAGAGTATCTAATACCCAATAAAAAGCCTGAGATACACACTTGCTCCAATACTGACATTTCTATTTAGTCTTAAAGTAAATTTTAAAAATTAAATTATAAATGCTTCCATTACCAGACTCCCACATCAAACTCAAAATTAAGAGACTATCACACAAGTAGTTAATAATAATTCCTTTTTCTAAAACTTTCTCCTCCCACATACTCCGTTTCTTATAATAATTCACTAATGTACTTCCTCCTCTTTCACTAACTTCTTACACCAAGAGTAGTATTTACACGATGATGATCAAGTTTTTCAGTAATTAGATTCATAGAAACTGCTCCCCATAATCACCCTGAATCACCAAGTTCTTACCGGTTGTCCTGGCAAATTCTCAGGGACAGGCTGAGTTGCTGGTTCCAGTCTGCCAAGAACTTGGTAGATAGAGCGCTTGGTCTGTGTCCTTCGAAGTAATCTTTCTTTGTCCATCAGAATATGATCAATCTGAGTCAAGATTGAGCGTTCAAAGGCACCAAAACCCTGCAACAACATTAACCAGCGTCAGATAATGCAGAAAAGTCAGTGCTAAAGGCAGCTACATCAGTTTCTCTATCTTTCTGTGTCAGCAGAGAAAAAGACAATCCTCCTTTCAGAAGAAACTTTCTGTTAAAGACGAGTTTGTGAATGGCTGTAAATGTTCTCAGAAGGAAAAAAAATTATTCTTAACAAGCAAGTCATATCACTTTTCTATACCCAGGTTAGCTTCTGCTCCTTTAGCAATTTTTTTAAAAATCCATTTCTTTATAGTATTTTGTATTTTCAGCTCTTGAATGCTTAAAGAACCACGATTTCTAAAAAGAAACATTCTTTCTAATAAAGTTAAAAATCCTAAGTCTGAATGTATAAACCCTCAATGATAGGAGTTCAGTAACTTTTGCTAAAATAGTAAATACTAGTAAATAGTAAATACTCATTACTATTAATGAGTATTTTAAATAGTAAATACTCATTATCATTAATTACATAACTACATTACCCATATAAATGAGATGCTGTTCCAATTTTCTTAGAACTGTTTCAGGTTGCCACAACACACACACACACACTTACCTTTCCCAGTTTTCCAGAAGCCAGCTTGGTTTTGTCGTGCCACTTCTGAAGGGTACGGTTCCTATAGACTGTAAAGTCAGCAAAGCGCTTTGCCATGAAGCTGGGATAGTCATCCATCTCTAGCTTCCTCTTTGGTAGGGCCCTTCTCTGCTGCTTCTCCTCCTTAACCAGTTTATCATCTTCACTAGAAATCTCCTCCTCACTAGAAAACCAAGAAGAACACTTATGTCCAATGTAAAGAAACACAACCAAATAAAAACCTAGGCTCATATGAAGCAGCAGTATTTAGGCCTTGTCTAGTCTGCCTACATTTTAATAACATCCTATACATGGAGAGAGCTTCTTTTTGTTTGTTTAAAAATAAAATGTTCATGAGATCAATCAAAAATTCACATAACTTTTCAAATAAATATAAAAAGAAGTGGTATCAATACATATATAATTTTTAACAGGTAAGCAAACCATAAAAATAAATGAGGTTGTAAAACCACTATTAGAAACGTATATGAACCAGGATTGCCCTGTTACAGGAGGGTCTTTAAAAATTAAACACATAATCATACTTCTATGACCTTAATCCCCAAATCAATAAGGAAAATATATCTCCCTGTAGCCAACTATTCAGAAGAGCTAAATAAATGTTAGCTGATCCAAATGAAGAGAAACTGAATGTGAAGAAAACTCAAAGAGGCAGGCAATGGAATGGGCACTAAATTGCAATATATACAACTGCCGTGAGAATGTAACATAAGCCCCAACTATAGAGCCAACTGCACTCACTAGATTTCTCACTGGATTACTGACTCCAGCACATAAGGCGGTGCTGAAAAAATGTGAGCTTCCTTTATTTTTCCTTCTAGCTAGTTCAAAAGGATAAAACAAAGGACAAGCCCATGGGAAAAAAGCAAGCAGGTATGTCATATAACAGCCTCAAAGAGGGAAAAAGCCTTAAGTGTGATCATTTCAGAAAAGAAAAAGGTTTACTTTGCTATTCTTTTTGGAATTTTTTTCTACCCTTTCAGATAACTCCTTCTTCCCTCATTGAAGAAGAAATGGTTGTGACCAGCAGTTTCCATGGTATGGGCACAAAGTGCTTAATAAACATTAATTATGCATTATCTAAAAGTATGCGTTTATTAATCTCCATAAATCTAAGGAGAAGGCAAGTCTTTTGCCTAAGCCCACAAGGGAATCTAGGCACAACTAAGCATAAAATTCCAAAGCCTGTTCCCAATTTATGGGCCATGATGATGCTGTTGTTGTTAGGTGCCGTCAAGTCATTTCCAACTCACTGTGACCCCATGCACAGCAGAACGAAACACTGCCCGATCCTGCGCCAGCTCCATGATCCCTGCTATACATGAGCCCATCATCGCAACCACCGTGTCAATCTATCTCGTTGAAGGCCTCCCCCTCTTTCGTCGACCCTCCACCCTACCAAGCATGACATCCTTCTCCAGGGAATGGTCCCTTCTGACAACATGACCAAAATAGGTGAGACGAAGTCTGGCCATTCTCGCTTCCAAGGAGCATTTAGGGTGCATTTCCTCCAGGACAGATCCGTTAGTTCTTTTGAGCAGTCCACGGTACTTTCAGCATTCTTTGCCAGCACCACAACTCAAAAGCATCAACTCTTCTTTGGTCTTCCTTATTCACTGTCCACCTCTCACATGCATACAAGGCGATGGGCCATCATTATTAAGTATGGTATCACTCTGGAAAGGACTTGGCTTTCTTTTTCCCACATGATGAAAAAGGCTCCAGATTGAGTATTACCTATAAGCAATTCCATAGTTCCATTCTCACCTTACCTTTCTGCTTTGGGCTTTGTACCATCTACTAGGTATCTAGTGTCTGGGTACTGGAAAAGCAACTCTTCCTGAAGATCCACCAATGACCTCAATAATGCTTTAAGTGCCTTGTGACCTGGGAAATAAAGCCAAGAGAAGGGACAATTATCCACAATTCTTCAAAGTAGGTGATGCCAGTAACTCATGACTCCTGAACATCTTTGGCTTGGGGGAAGAAGGGAGAGTGCAGGGTACACAGGGACTAAGAACTCTCTGAAACACATAATTCCCAAATGGAAATGGTAATAGTACTTACCTTAGAGGGTTATTGTGAAAAATAGGCAATATAATATATGTAAGATGCTTAGAAAAGTGCCTATAAATAGTGACAATTTAATTAATTGGCAGTTATTAATATTTGCTAAGTTTGATCAAATTCTTTCCTATCTGTCATCATAACCAATCATTTTTTCCTTTGGTGTTAGTTTCTCAAGTATTTTTCTACAGGTTATCCACTGACCTCTTAGATTATCCCTCTATCAATCCCCTCCCTAGGCAATTCCTCTTCCTCTCCTAAAAGCCTAACTTAGTCCTAGGACTCCTTCTACCACCACCACCACCCTCCTCCTCAGGAGATGTCATTTGCCTCTGGTGTGAACTGCCACATCATTCATTCAGTCTCTCAACACACACCTTTATGGAAAGTCCCTGTTCACATATGAAAACCCAAGTTAATGACTTACTGTTTGTAGGGTATATACTCAGAGTTGTGTATTAAAAATTATACACTAAGAATATGTTCTAACTTGTTTCTCCTCATAGCCAGCAGGACAGATACATTTATAATATAGATGGCTGTAATATAGCTTCAATGTATGGTTTATGGCTAAGAACTTTCAGAATGAAGACTAGCCCTCTGAGAACTGAACCCTTACCTTCTGTATCAGCATAATGCACTAAGAGGCTAACTAAACACTGATAATCACTATTTGTGTGTTGATGGACATGGATGTCTCTCCTATTTCCACATTTCTAGCAAATGTCAGAAAATACTCTGACGAATGCTGTATCATTCCTTCAAACATAATGTCAGAAACATAACTCTCTTCCCTCACCTAATACTTCTTCCTTGTCTGAATTTCTCTTTTCTGCTTAATGCATTTTCATGGGAGATCACTGAAATTTTGATGCCCTTTTTCTATACATTCCATCAACTTCTATATCCTGTATTTTCCAGACTTATTGTCAACATCTGTCCATTTCTCTCTGGCCACGATTCTATCACTCCTTGCCTCTTTCCCTTCAGTGACTGTAATCTTCTCACAAATATCCCTACTTTCATTGAATAATTCTTTCTTTTATTCAACATTCCATACTAACTTAGGCTACAACCTTCAGTTTAAAAGGTTTTTACGATTCTTATTCTTTCTCTTCTGCCTCTACTCTGCCCAAAATGAGCAGCCTCTTGACTATTTCATGGAGTGATTCTAACTCACAGTCACCCTACAAGTCTGAGTAGATGTACACCACAGGGCACTGGAAGGATTTACAATATGTAAACATTACCTGAAAAATCTAAAGTGCCTAGATTCCAAATCAAGATTCTTAACCTGTTGCTCATAATTTTTAAAAAAATATGGAAATAAAATTTCCATATTTCACCAAATATGGAAATAAAAAGTGATACTCAAAAAGATTACCACAATTACTCTTTTGTTTGTCAGGTTTTGGGAAATGTATAAATAGGTACAAATAGGATGAAAATTAGGCAAGAAGGAAAATAAGAATAAAGATAATGTAATTTTTAAAGCAAGAATTATTCAGTCTAAACGTGCTAAATGTGTAAGCAGAACAATGAAAAACTATGCAAATATATGGGAAAGTTTAAAATGAGGAGAACAAAGAATACAAATGATAACTACAAATGCTTCAATTACTACAAATGCTCAATTTAAAAAGAGCTGAGAATTGCTAACAGACATCCATAGTAGCTAAGATTCTGAAAATATATGCTATAGGAAGAGCCTTAAGAAGAAAATAGAAAAGACACTAATACTTAGAAGGAAGCTCATGAAAACACAGCATTTCACTCAAATTCTGCACAAGCCAATAAATGTTTTTACCTTCTTTTCTAGAAATGGCTACATTTTAAGAGATAGATCCCACGTTTTCCAAAGTGAAAGCACAAATCAATTTTACACTTGGAAAGTAGTTTTAAAAATTCCCATATCAGAGTGTAATAAATAATTGCTACCATTCCAGTTCATATTTGCAAAGAAAAAAAAAAACTGTCTATTATCCTTCAAACTTGAGCCTAATTAATAAATAAAACAGGAAAAGCAAGGGCCTGTCCTTTACTTCTGCTAGGTACCATACGTCCATAATCTGAAGTAGGTAACCAAGGATGACATAGGGAAGATGCCACAGAGCAGTTTGTTTATAGCTGCTTGCTCCCAACAAGCAAATCATCATCTGACTCTAACATGTAACATAACCAAGAATACAGAAATAGAAGGTATATTACTAATAAAAAAACATCCCACAAAAGGCAACTTTTAAGGGCTACTTTCAAGTACCTATACCAACCCTTTTATTTTGTTCAAGTCAGTGTTTTAAAAATCCACTGCAGATGTATTAGACAGCATATCAATCCAACAAGAAAGCAGAGAGCCAATATCAGTAAATCAAAGTGTGCCTTTCTGTTAATACTCTCTCATATGTTCTCATTTTATACACCCCTTCACCCAGTCAGAAAGTAGCCCTGAAGTATTTAAGCTCCATTCAGGGATAGCACCACCATGCATCAAAGTGTCAAGAGACCTACCAGAGATGAAATCTGCAATTCTGTGCTTCTAACCACAAAAAAAAGTTTATCAAAGTAAATGTCTTCAGTGGCCTAACACATGGAAAACTTCCTGTACAGAGACTTAAAAGACAGAACCCAAAGCTGATTTCTTCCTAATACTTGGGCCACATTTCCTTCTAGAAAAACAGAAGAGACAACTTCTATCCATAGCATAGGAAATCCTATGCTGGAGATGGTAGCCTCCCCAAAGCCAAAGCTGACAAGAAAGACTGAGGAAAGACTCCTTCTGAAAGTTCAAATCCAACAGTGAGTTCTTCTCCCCAGCAAAGAGAATCCTCTCCATTATCCATATAGAGCTGAATTCCATTTGTTCAACCCTATAATAAAGAGATGGAATCAATAGTTTGTAACTCACCTCTAATTTTTCTCCTAATTTCTGTAAAGAAGAGTTAAGAAAAGCAGCAATGATGCATATACTTTCTTCTCTCTCCCTCTTGGCACCTGGCCACAAAACAAATGGAAGCTGTCAAGGATATATATGTTTATTTTGTCCTACATGGTCCATTTCCAGAGGCCTTTTTCTTAAGAGGAGATTATGAAGGACATATGCCTCACCATATCACCAAGATCCAACCTAAGCATGTGGCCACCAGCTTTAGGAATAATTTTCTGAGCAAAGAATAAATGGAAAGAGTACTTTACTAAGGGTCAGGAGCCCTGTAATTCCAACTGACACAGTCACTAACTAGTCATGTTATGCTGAGTGGACCAATTTAATCTCATGTAGTCTCAATTTTCTTATCTATAAAATTAATCCTTTGTCTGCTTATCTCACAGAATTAAAGTGAAAAATAATAAATGTGTTATTATATATTAAGGTATTTTGAAAAGCAAAAAATGTTACAGAAATAGAAAATATATTACTAATAAAAAAGCATCATCTTCCACATAGTGAAAGTCTCTTATGCTTTGCCTGTACCAATCTACAACACTAGGATTGGACTAGTATTCATAGATTCCTATATTAAGTATTCATTTATATGCTACCCATATGCAAGCATTCTATATATAAAATGTCACCAATCTAAAAACCATTTCCACTTAACAGCTTTATTTTTTCTCTTGATTCATCTAGGCTGTCCAACATAAACAAAATAGTAGTCAGAGAATAAGTCTGGACATAGGCACACAGTTCATTAATTAGATTATAAACCAACAGTAAAATTTCTAGCAATGGGATGGAAAGAGAATGGGACGTGTGAATGTATAAAGTAAAATAAAGGCTATCTTATCAGTTTAAAAATGTCTATACAGTTATTTTTAAATAAATATGCAAACATACATTTGTTTATGTACAAATATGCATACATTGCTCCATTCCCATTAACCCACATGAATACACTGAACTGGAATGTACAGATTACAAGAGAATTACTTTCTCCTTCACAAGTCACTCTAGAACTAGAGCTAAACTATAGGTCAAAATATCACACAATATGTTGGCCTGAGAACAATACTTTTCATTCAAATCCACACAAGCCTGCCACTTGCACTAGTCATCCCCGGCAATTAATCCCCCAAGAAAGACGTTTGATTAAATCTTTTCAAGCAAATCCTTTGCTTTGCTTTTGTTAGTTCACTTCTTGTCAACATCTATTAAAATATGCCTTTAATTCTCCCACAATCTTAAAAAACACCGATTCCACTGTCTTCAACTTTAATCAACTGTATGGCCGGCATTTTTCATTTCATAATAATGTGCTGCTTGGAATTCAAGAGGCAGGCTCAGCATCAATCATCTGGTAAGAATTTTTCCACTGCAATAAATATGCAAATGAGGAGAGCCAGTCAGTCGTATTTCAGGCCCGACTTGCTAGTGTTTTAAAAAAGACACAAATTTATTAATTGCCGGTGGCCAGAGGAATCCTATTACTTTGGGCATTGATTACAAAGCTGTGTGAGTGATTATTGTGCAACTCGCGGGCTACCCAGGCATGAGGAAAAATTATTAAAGCAAGGCAGAGATTATCAACTCAGAATAACAATAAGCCTTAACATTTAGGCCCTAACTTCTTCAACAAAGAATTACGTGAAGGCTCCACTGTATCATAATTCTGAATTCTGTCAGTATTGCTGTTTGGGCTTGTTCTATACTCCCCAAGCAGAATGGTATTACCAGTAAGAGAGAGTACTGCAGGTCACAAATTCCTCCCCACCAACCATCTGGATGAGGTTCTATTATTTCCTGTGTATGTCCAACTAGAATTTTCATAGGTACGTATGTGTACACATATATACAGGTGGGTTTCTGTGTATGCATACATACATAG